TCTTCACTCTGCATGTGAACTCCGGAGCATGGACACGCAGGCCTTTTACCCTCTCACATCGCCTTCCAGGCCTTTTTTTTTTTTTTTTCAGTGAATGGTGAGCAGACCAGTTTCTGGGTATCTGACCTGGGGCATGGGTTCCCAAGGCCTGCAGGTAGCTGGCTCCTGCTGAGGCTGTCTGTGCTCCTCTACAGGGTCCCTGGGTACCCACCAAGCCCCTGCTCAGACCCTGAACGAGACCCAGCAGGCACTAGAAAGCTTGAGGCTGCAGCTGGATTCACATGGAGCCCTGCATCGTAAACTGAGGCAGCTGGAGGAAGAGTCGGCTCAACAGGAGCTGCAGATCCAGAGCTTTGAGAACGACCTCGCAGAGATCCACGCTGACAAGCACAACCTGGAGACCATTCTGAGCAGTCTACCAGAGAATTGTGCCAGTTAGACTCTGGCACACCCTCCCTGCCCTGCCGTTTCCTGTCTACTCCCCATAGGCGTGCCAGGCCTGCTTTGTTGTATGTTCATGTGAATGTTTGTTTGCTGATGTGTCTTCGGTCTGAGCAGCAGTGTGTGTTCCCTAAATATGCATCAACATATACACCCCAGAGTCAGTAAGAGGCATGTCTGCATTTGCACATATGTGTGTGTGATGCACTTGTGTGTTCAAGACTACCTGTGCATACACATGTGAGAGTCTATAGCTGTCAAGAGGCATACTCTGCATCCTAGATGGGTCTTGTTATGACATATTTCCTGCAGGGATAGATAACATATCTCCCTTCAAAAATCAGAGGCCAAACAGGGGTGATACCTCTGAGGCTGAGAGACTATCTTCAGAGATCTTGAGAAGCCCCAGAAAATCCTATATGCATGGTCACAGAGCTGGCCCTGGGCCCACTACGCTCCCCTGTCTCCTAACTGGTCACCTAGCAGCTCTGAGAATTGAGGTACCAGACAGATGAAGAAATGCTCAGATTCTAACAGGATTCCGGGAAGTGGCACCTAAGGCCATGTGGGCCTGCAAAGCCTATAGGGCAAGGCACAGCTGTGGATACCTTCTGTGGACGATTTCCCCGGTGATCTGGATCTGCAGCTGTTTCATTGAGGGAAGTGCCTGATCTATCCATCTTCAATATCCTGACCTACCCAAAGAACCAGGTTCTTCAGGGTCTGGGTCATGAAGCCTCAAGCAGACACCAGGAACAGCCCTTTGTACCCTGCTGACTCAGTTAGCCTTTGATTGACACTTCTCAGACTGGTCCTGTGGCCCCCGCCTGCCATGAAGCATGCCACAGGGATGTGGAAGCCTGGCTGTCACCCTAGGCCTGCTGCCCATGACCGCCTCCTCCGGAAATCCCTGGCATTTCTTCCTGATGCTCTCTCTCTTTCCCAGAGCTTCTTTAGCACATAGCAGGGCCTAGGCACTGAGGTAACAGCCACTTTTGCAAGCCCAATCCCTTCCCCAGGTCCCAGAGGAAATGATAGTTACGTGGACTGGTTCTGATTATGAGGAAATAAAGGACCCTTTTCTGAGCTGTGTGCTGTGCCTTTGGTCCTCCAGTGCTGGTGTGGCAGCCAGGGCCTGCTGTGGGCATGCACAGAGCACATCTTGTGGTTGGCCTGGAAGGCAGGAAGAGCCTGCATTTGTGATCACACATGTGGGAAGGAAGTTGGCAGAACTGGGCTTGTGCCATGCTGGGGTCTGTCATGTTGGGCTTAGCAGGAGCACTGACCACCACCTTTTCTTTCAGATCCAGGAGGGTTTCAGACAAAGGTGAGGGGCCCGGATAGAGGTGGTACACAAAGAGCTCCTCTGCCAATCCCTGGTTCAGGGTGGAGACACTGAGGGAGAGAACTGGACTTAATACTGTCCAGTAGCGCGATAAGGGGAAAGGAGGGATACCATTGAGGGGAGGAGGGCTTGGGCCTGGGCCTAGAAGGGTGGAGAGATAGAGGGGAGAACAGCCCATATAAGAGGGGCGGCAGCCAAGGTTACAGGGCACCAGCCTGGCTAGCATAGGTCATTGCAAATTTAGATTAGAGCAGGTTGTAAAGCATGCTCTGTTTTGTCAAGGCTTTGGGCTACAAGGCCAAAATAATTACTAGATTAGCTTCAACAGGAAAGTGGAAGTCACTGAGAGGGTGACTTGGAATCCTGGGCTAGGAGACGCTGCCAAGCTTTAGAGAAGTCTGGAGACTAGAGCTGCTGAGATGGGTAGCTTTTCCTCCTGCCTCCTTCCTTGGTTCCAGCTTTGCTTTCTTGGTTTGCTTAGGTCTTGCCTCTACAAATTAGCTTTCCTCATCTTTCTTGTACTTAATGGTTGATGATTCTGCAGAGCCCCTGCCCCCATCCTCCACAAAGCACTGGGCTCGCATATCATCAGCTCATTATTTTTATTTTTATTCATTTTTTCGAGACGGGGTTTCTCTGTGTAGCCCTGGCTGTCCTGGAACTCACTCTGTAGAGCAGGCTGGCCTCGAACTCAGAAGTCCGCCTGGCTCTGCCTCCCAAGTGCTGGGATTAAAGGTGTGAGTCACCACTGCTCAGCCATTATTTTTATTTTGAGATAGTATTCATTTTTGCTTGATATGTATGTGTGTTTTGCCTGCATGCATATCTGGGAACCACATGCTTACTTCAGGTCCTCTGGAATTGGAGTTATAGATAGTTGTTAGCTGCCATGTAAGTGCTGGAAGCCAAACCCGGGCAGACAAACAGGCAATTCTTTTAACTGCTGAGCCATCACTCCAGCCCCAGGTCAAATGTTTGAGTGCTCAAGTCCCCTGCTTGGTCAAAATAACAGGGATTTTGTGTCCAAGGCCTTGGGGTGAGATATGCCATATACCTATGGAGGAAGTGTTCCAAGGCGGGGTGCGTTCCTCCAGAGAGAACCCTAAGATCAGGGTGAAGCTGAGACTGATGTGGCTGGTGTTTTATGCTGCATGGGACTCATATGATAGGCTGCCAGGGTTGGGATAGGAAGACTGAAGACAGGATTGGGTAATTAGGATCTGGCGTGTGATGTAAAAGAAACAGGAGCTCTAAAATCAAAGTCTAGGGCAGGATCTGGCCTTACCCCAGTTTCTCCACTGAGAGATAGTCAACCTCTACCCACTTGAGCCATGATGTACGTACAGCAGAGCGCAGTCCCAGTGTCCCTAGTGGACGGAGACCAGGCTTCCTAGGAAGTCTCAGGCCTGACAAGTGACTAATGTGGTATGGTCATGTCTGGTGTATGCAGAGCCACTCAGAAGGCCCAGAGATGGGGCTGCTCATGACTGAGTGGAATGTGGGCAGCTGAGCATCTGGCTAATAAGGCAGCCAGCTGAGCAACAGAACTTGGGGTGGCCCCTGTTCTATCCCAAGGAACAGCCAGGAACAGCTGTGTAGCAGTCTTCTCTGAGGTGAAAACATTCCATCCTGTAGATGTTTACCTCAAGCAGGAGGTAAACAACCCAAAACAGTAGCTTCAAGTGCTCCCTGAAACAGAGCAGACTCCTCAGACCCCTCCCTGCCAGCCTCAGCAGAGCCCAGCTGCAAAGAAGACTCTTAGATACGAAGACCTGCCTGCTGTTTAGACCAACTGATGCTCTGGGAAAGGAGACCCTCCATCCAACCTGTTGCACTGTCTGTAGACCACGCGGGCTCCAGGTTCCCAGTTTTGTAAGCTGTCACCCATGCTGGGGGGTGGGCTTTGGTGACACCACTGTCTGTGAGTTCTGCTCCCGTAGGTAACCCTTCACCCATATTCCTGTAAGTAACCCCAATAAAGCTCATTGGGTCACCAAGCTGGACTTTGGTGGTATCTGTAATTGGATCTCTTTTGGGTTCCCAAACTGGGGTAAGTATTTGTGCTGTGTCTCCCCAGGAAAAGTTTGTCACACAACAACAGCTAACCCAGCTAGTTGGGGCCATGGGCAGCCTGGGATTGGACCAATGAGGAGGGCCCTGTTCTGAGTCCAGTTCCTGCCTGAGCTTTCAGAGGGAACACTACCGTGCAGGCTTTAAACTTCCAAGCCCTTGTGGGTCTACTTCTACAACACAGTCCCTGCTCCTGTTTCTCATATTCTGCCAATTCGGGAGCTTGGGTCAAGTACCCAGCTTCAGACTGTGGGATGAGTGAATGCACAGAGGGGAGGAACCTAAGAGCAGGAGCCTGCCTTCTCAAACATCTTTGCTCACTTTAGCCCCATATCATTCTATCTGGACCACTGGACTCCCCTCTGTGAGCTTGGCTACCCGCCCCCAAAAGGACAGTCAGCTGGTCACAGGATCCCAATCTAAGGAGTTCAGACTTGAGGTAAGTCTGGGGAACGGAGATTCCTGGATTCCCAGAGACATGCTGGAGGTGCTAGTGGCTCCTCCCCATGACTAGGACAATCCTGATCTGTGCCTGTGTCGACAATGTAACCATTAGAGGGAGATCCTTTATAAGATTGTTCAGGTTGTACACTTCTTTCTTTACAAGGCCACACATGCCCAGCCTGGCCTCTCCTCAAGTCAGAGGCTGCTTCTTTACCACCCTAGAGGACTTGGGTCCCAACTTCAGCTTCCTCTACCATACCAATACTACTTCGTAGTTAGGGGAAATGACACACAAAGGCCAAGTGTCAGGTACACCATGAGCATCAACACACGTATTTATCTAAAATATTAGTGTCATAGTGGCGCTACCGGGCAAAGGTGACAGTAAGGTGACAGCCTCTATTGGTACTTGATCTTCACAACCAGCACTGCGAAGTTCTTAGTGAGGTGTGATATTGTCTCTTCTGGTGACGGGGAAAGAGGGCGTTCCCATCTTGCATTTTCCGCGTCCTCCAGCAGAGGGGCAGCGGCGGGCTAGGCATCCAGCTAAACAGCCGGCTTTGATGCCCCGGGTGCGCGCGGCCTCGGGGAGGGGGGCAGGAGGCGGGCCGCAGGCGGGGCGGGGTGTGTCCGGCCTCGCGGTCCCTCCGCCCCTGGGTCCCGTCGCCACACGCCGCCAAAGGTCTGGACCAGACGTCTTTTCCTCCCTGTTGTCCCTCGCCTTGTCCGGAATCGGGCGCATACCATGTCGGTCGCACTCAGCAACAGGTTCCAAGGTAAGCGCTTGATGTTGCTGCGATGTCCCGCGCCGGACGTCTCTCGGTCGCCACCTGTGCGCGCGCCGCAGCACGCGCGGGAACTCGGAGGGGGGCGCGTGGTCCGGGAGGTACCCTTGCTTCCCCGCCGACTCTTTGTCTCCCGCAGGAGGGAAGGCGTTTGGTTTGCTCAAAGCCCGGCAGGAGAAGAGGCTTGAGGAGATCAATCGGGTAAGCCGCGTCACTGCGCGGGACAGCGTGCGGGTTCCTTGCGCCGCACTGTGCCACTCCTCCCCCCCCCCCCCCCAGACAAAATCAGTCCTTCCTCCCCTATCCCTGGCCTTCCCCAATTGTATCTCTGGCCTCTGCCGTGTGGCCTCCAACTCCAGGTAAGTCCATTCCAACCCTTAGCTCTCTGCCTGGCGTCTCCGGTTGCAAGTTGTAACTCTTTGACCAGGGAGGTGGGGTGGGTGAGGGAGCCCGCTACCGGCGGGCAGGGGCTTCCCGGGAGCTCGCTGGGGACCACCTAAGGGGCTTGGCGCCAGAAGGGACCCCAGGGCCAGTGCTGACTCCATAGACCACAGAACTTAACACTCGAGTTCGCTGGCAAATGCTGGCATTTCCCTGTCGCCTCCCACCTTCAATTCCAAGATGCAGTTCTTTCCACCAGCTTTTAGAAAAGTTGCCCGAGGGACTGTTTTTTCTTTTTCTTTTTTTCTTTTGCTGGGCCTGGGGAAGTTCTAGAAAGAAATCCTTCCGCTGCTGCCAGACACACAATAGCAGCTCCGTACGTTTGCTACTGAGCGTGTAGATCCCAGGAGATAAGGAACGGTGTCAGGGCCTCCTGGATTGGCAAAGCTCAGAGGTAGCACAGCCTTTAGGGTTCCCAGGATCTGTGTTCAGACTGTGACTGCTGTCTCAGTAAGGGCTTCTCACCTCCTGAATGGTCACTTTGTGAGCTCAGGTAGGCAAGGAGCCTGCATGGTCTGGGGTCCAGCGCTAGGGAGACAGTCCATATTGGCATTAGAGTTCTCTCTCTCTCTCTCTCTCCCTCCCTCCCTCCCTCCCCCCCTCCCACCCCCCGTCCCCCCCTCCCCCCCCTACAGTGGAGATTGAACTCAAGATTTTCTCCATGCTAGACAAGGGATAGACCCTTGAGTTATTAATACATCTGGGACCAAGGTATGCCAATTGATATAGCGCTAGGCATTTCCTCATATTTGCCTCTATGGTCCCTGGACACCCAGAGTGACAAGCTCCGGGTCCCTGGAGAGGAGCTGGTAGGGTTAGCACTGGAGGTCCCTGGAGGTCCCTGGAGGTCCTTGGAGATGCAAGGGCTGTGATCCTGTTGAAGTGTTTCAGCCCCATTCCTTTATTTCCAAGGACTGCCCAGACCTAGATAGGTCCCTCTTCCTCTCCGCCAGTTCCATGACAACCCTTCCCTTTTCCCTTGGCACTTGTCATAGAGCATGGGAGGGGATGTCCATATGACTGGGCTTAGAACCCAGGCCTGATGGACTTCTCCAAGACCCCTCAGCACTACCCCAGCCTTGACTGCTTTTGCTTTCTGGACAAGAATCTGGGACCCTGATCTCATACAGCTCTCCAGGCCACTTGGTTAGGAAGGCTCTGAGCTAGTTGACTCCACCCACAGCCAACAGGACCCTAAACCAGAGACAGCTGGATATGGACATTAGGTGACCTTAGTTAGAGGAGTCAAAAGAGCTGAGATTTGGGGTTTTCTGCTGACCCCATCCTTGGGGATGCATGCAGGTGGAGGCTTGGGATGAGGGCTGTTGGGACAGGTGACTCAAAAAGGGGAGAGGCTGTGACTGTGAGGGCCATTGACAGTACTGATGCTGTGGAAAGTGGGGAAGTGGGAGCTGTGATCGAACCGCTGCAGGCCCTCAAACACCCAGAGAGGGCAAGTAGCTGAGCTAAGACCACACAGGAGCCACTGCTGCAACTCGCAACCTAGTGTCTCTTTGCTGGGGGATGCTGTTTAGAGATCTTCCACAAAAGCTCCAGCCACTGTAGGGCTGGAGTATAATTCAGAGTGTAGGTCCCTAGAGGATTGTGCTAGACCATCCAGCTGCCCCCGCATCACCACAGGCCACGGTGACTACGCCAGAATTAGAGCCAGGAGGCAGGCTGCCAAGCACTGGCTCTTCATTGACCTGCTTCCTTCACCCCTCTGAGCCTCCTTTGCAAGCAAGAGATAATAGTAGTGATTAAAAAAAAAAAAAGCCAGATGGTGTGTGTGAAATGCACAGAGTTGGCGGCGGTTGTGAGCATCATCGTTTGTTTGTGTGAGGGCTTCAGATATAAGGAGTAGGTATGGAGGTACGCTAGGGATATGCCAGCTGGGCCCACCCCTTAGGAACCCCTGCAACTGTCAGTGAAGAAGGATAGACCTGGAGTGGCTTTGCTTTAAGGTCCCAGTCTGTTTGACCCATGGCCATGGCTGTAATGACAGGTCCGACTGTTTTGCTTCAGAGTACACCTTCTCTGCCCTACCTGGTGTGTGAATTCTGGGATGCTGGGCTGGGCTGGGATGAGAAGTGTCTGTTGCCCCCAAAGAAGCAGGAAACCGTACAGGACATGACTTTGTGACTCACTGTTATGTGACCACCTGTTATGAGCATGGACACCACCCGCTGCTATCTGGCCCAGCTCTAGGAAGACTTTCTAGACCAACACTCCAGTTCTCCTTGGGGCTTTCCCCCTCCCCTGGGGTGGCTGTTTGTGAGCAGCAAGGTTGCTCAATCTTAGCAATTGTTAGCATAAGAGAGACAAAGTTGAGCACTCTGGTGGGGATGGAGGACCCTGAGGAGGGAAGGCGGCAGGAGATCTGTACATAGTACAGCTTTTTAGAGGTTCATTTTAGTTTCTCCTTTAGAAATTGTTTTTAAAATCCCATTACATTATTCATCTATACATGCGTGTGTGCACACATGCATTCACGTGTGCACGTGTATGTCTCACACAACACAGGCTGTGTGTGAAGGTCAGAGGACTGTTTGCAGGAGCTGGTTTCCCCCTTCTATCATGTGGGTCCCAGGGATTGAACTCAGGCTTAGCAGCAGGTCCCTTTACCTGTTAAGCCATTTTAAGTTTTAAGCCCCATTTTGGTTTCTATTATCATTTTCTGGTCCCTTGGGAGTGCTGGTCTGCACCAGGCGTGTTGAATGTTCCCTTTTAACACTGTGTGGTTTAAGTACTATTATTCCCATTTCACAGACTAGCTGGCTCAGAGAAGTTAATTGCCTGACATTAAACAGCCACAATTTAGCCAGCGGTGGTGGTGTGTGCTTGTCATCAAAGCTGCTTAGGAGGCTCAAGCAGAAGGGTTCTGAGTCGCAAGGCCTGCCTGGGCTACAGAGGGAGACCTTGCATCAAGCCAGACAAGACGAGAAACCAGCCACAGTGGGACTCAGATTTTATATGCGTACACATTTGCTTCAACTCTGTGCTCTGGTGGCCCCTTTCATGGATACCCAGCCCCCTCCCACACTGTGGTGTGTATGTGTCAGCACCACAGGAGCAAGCTGGACCAGGCAACAGCCTCCTACTCCCTCCACATAGCTGGCATTCCCCACGCCCTGATGGCATGGTAGGTGACCCCAGGCCAGCCAGCCCCAGCCTTATATGGCAATGGGAGAAATTCCCTCTGTCTTCCCATAGGAACCTAGAGAAGCTGTGTGCGGGGCTGGGCTGGCTACTCCTTGGAGTGCCTGTGGCCTGAAGATGATCTGGAGCTGGGGTGTGGGCTACAACTTGAGTCTGTGATTGGCTCGGATCTTTGAACACATACAAGGGTGTGTGCATGGCGATATTCCATGCTTGGTGCTCACCATGCATCGGCTTACAGATTTGCCCAATGGAGCAGTCCATCACGAGTGTACAAGGCGTGCGGAGAGAACTGTGACCGTCCTTCAGGGGCAAGGGTGGTGATACCCATCATAATGAAGAGGAAACAAAATCACCTACCCAGGGCACTCGGCCAAGGGCAAAGGCAGGATTCAGATGAGGTCTGTCGGACTCCAGACATCACCCGTGGCCTCCTCTGGCCGAAGTCCGCCAGGCTACTCCAGCTTTGTAGTGACCCAAGCCTTCCTGCTTATGTAAGACAAAGATCTCTGGCTATTGTCCCCATGTCTTAGCCCTGTTGGGTCAAATGAACGTCACTCGTATTCCCTGTCCCATTTAGGTGCCTAATGGTCATCTCCGTGCTCCTTTGCTACCTGGGAAGGGGGCTGGGGTGTGGGAAGATCTCTGTCCAGAGTGACTGTTTCCTGCACTCTCTCCCAGCCATGTGGGGCCTTTGAGACTTGACCCAGGAGACTATGCAGGTGTGCCTTTTCCTGTGTCCCTGGCAGTACCGCTCTGTCCTTGCCTGTTGGCATTGAGGACACCCGTCTCTCTTGCTCTCCCCTTAATATATTATAAAGGAGATGGTGATAAGGGGTCACGTGGCCCTCTGGGGATTCAGTGTCCCCTGCAGGTCTGGCTAGTTGTGACCTTGCTGTGGCTATGTCACGGGCAGCTGGAGATGGAATTTCTGTGAGGTCTGGTTTATGTGTGTGGTCACTGGGTGTTTTTCTTTAGCTGCCCCATCTACTGGCGAGGACACTGTGTCCGGATAAGGCCTCAGAAGGGAATGTGAGCCTGTTGTCTTTGTGGGTACATGTTACAGGTTCCTGCTGCTCTCCAGGTGCCAGGCCGGGCGTTTGTGGCCTGGCCCTGGCCCTTTGGGAGCCTGTGGACTGTGTCAGAGCCCACAGGATCCCAGCATGTTGCTGCCTGTCCCCGGCACTCACAGGGCATCAGCCATTGTTGGCTGGCTTCTAGGGTGTAATATTTGCTCAGTCAAAGAGTCTGCTGCAGCCTTTTCTTTTTATGGTGGTGCTGGAACTCAAACCAGAGCCTCGAGCATTTGAGGCAATCTTCTTCTACCTGTGTCCTCAGCCCTGATGTAAGTGATGTGAAAAGTTACAATGGAGGGTCAGGAGCAAGTTATTCAGGAAGCGGGTTGAATCAGAGCTGTGGCCAGTGACTTCAGAGGCCCGACACCGCATGGGCTTGCCTGCCTTTGGCACTTTTTTGTTGTTTTGGTTTTAGTTTAATTTTGAGACCAGGTCTTGTGGTACCCAGGATAACCTCAAACTCACCCTGTAGCTGAGGAGAGACCTGAACTTTTGACCCTCCCATCTCTGCCTCTTCAGTGCTAA